TTCATTGTGTCACCTGTGTGCTGGGTACCTTTACAAGTATTCTCTCAGTTAATTCTTCAAATGACTTTGTGTGTGGTAGTTTCATATTTTCTTTTCTTTTCTTTTTTTTTTTTGAGGAGTCTCGTCTCACTCTGTCACCCAGGAGTACAGTGGCACGCCACTGGCCACCACAGCCTCAACCTGCTCGACTCAGGTGATCCTTCCACCTAGTCTTCCAAGTAGCTGGAACTATAGACATGTGCCACCATGCCTGGCTTATTTTTGGGGTCTCGCCAAATTGCCCAGGCTGATCTCGAACCCATAGGCTCAGGTAATTCTCTCGCCTTGGCTTCCCAAAGGGCTGGGATTATGGGCGTGAACCATTGTACCTGGCTATATTTTCATTTTTTAGACATGAGGGAACTCAGGCTCAGAAAGGATAAGTAATCTCTCAAGGTAACAAAGCTAAAATGTCAAAGGGTCAGGATTTGAATTCCGGTATGTCTAACTCTGAAGCCCACATGCACTCGGGACATTTTTCAGTCATTAATCTGAATTTTAAAGTGGTTTGATAGAGGCCAAAGCAGTGGTGTGCCGGTAAAAACCGCTTTCTATAAAAATAAGAGACGAATCACGCCTTGATTTGTAGTGTTCCCCATTTCCATGGTGTAAATACTCCCACCATAGCTGATTTCAAGCTGTCAGTGGTTTAACAATCTGCTTACAAAATCCCTGGTTATCTAGCAATCAGTGCAAGCTGTTATAAGTGATGCCTTCATGCTACTGGACCAAACACTGAATTACTTACTTACCCAGTGACTTATTAGAACTCTAGGTGTTAGTTGGTTAACGAATTAAAGAGGGTGCCTCGTTTTGTTTTTTTCTTTTTGAGTTAGTCTCACTCTGTCACCCAGGCTGGAGTGCAGTGGCATGCTCACGGCCACTGCAGCCTCGACCTGCTGGGCTCAGGCGATCCTTCCATTTCAACCTTCCAAGTAGCCAGAACTACAGGCACTACCACACCCGGCTTATTTTTTGATTTATTGTAGAGACGAAGTCTCACCAAGTTGCCCAGGCTAGTTTCGAACCCCTGAGCTCAGACAATCCTCTCGCCTCAGCCTCCCAAAGTGCTGGGATTACAGGCTTGAGCCACTGTGCCCGGTCTGGGGTGCCTCATTTCTAAGTGAGGCAGCTGAACACATCTACAGAGTTCTTCTTAAAATCGGATTTCCATGGTGTCTTTGAAGTTTTTTAAAGTTGAGTTACTATCAGGCAACCTATCTCTCCCCTACTGAAGTCGATTTTTTTTGTTCACATGCGAGTGGCTTTCAGCGTTTGCGGCTGACTCTGGGACTCCAGTCTTTTCCTGAGCACAGGAATTAGGATCAAAAGACAGGCTAGTGATAAATTGTGAGGATGTGGTCAAAGACAAAAAGTTAATTCACCATGTCTGTGCTCCGTAGATTAGACTATCACCAGAATGTGTAATTAGAGCCTGCTGCAACATGGTTTTAATCAATGATGGAAAGAGGTGGGGAGGCGAAATGTGCAGGAATTACTCCTAGGACTTTCCAGCACCACCAGGGGGGAAACCACTTAAGAAAACCCAAATGATTTAACAGCAACGGAGGAAACTGTTTCCGTTCCCAGCAATGGTTGCAGGAAGCCAGCTGGGGCCACTATCTTTCAAAGCCCATGGCCCGCACACCTGAACATTTCCACTCAGGGTGGCTTTGTGTGATGCCCGAGTCACTGCTGAAGCCATGTGTGGCCTGTTTTATTCCTGCCATTGAGGGACACTGGACTAAGTCATGATCACAACATGTTGGTGACGAGGCCAGAGGGTTTGGGGATAATCCATACATTTATGTAGTTCCTTTTTTTTTTTTAATGTTTCTTTCTTTCTTTCTTTTTTCTTTCTTTCCTTCTCTCTTTCTTTTTTTTTTGAGTTGGGATCTCTCTCCATTGGCCAGGCTGGAGTACAGTGGCACGATCATGGCTCACTGCAGCCTCAACCTTCTGGGCTCAGGTGATCCTCTTGGCTCAGTCTCCCAAAGAACTGGGGCTAAAGGTGCTTGCCACCATTCCCAGCTAATTTTTAAATTTTTTTGTAGAGATGAGGTCTGGCTATGTTGCCCAGGCTGGTCTCAAATTTCTGGACTCATGCAATCCTCCTACCTCGGCCTCCCAAAGTGCTGGGACTATAGGTGTGAGCCACCACACCCAGCTAATTCTTTTATTTTGGTAAAGATCAGTTCTTGCTTTGTTGTCCAGGCTGGTCTCGAACTCCTGGGCCCAAGCAATCCTCCCATCCTCACCTCCCACAATTCTAGGATTTCTGGAGTGAGCCACCATGTGACTTTTTGGCAGTTGGAAGAACAGAAAGTTGAACGCCATCTTTGGAGACTACCGAGTCTTGGCTGGAGGATTTAAGGCTTGGTCTGATCAGCAGAGGGATATCCATCCTTGAATTTGATAGGGGCTATTCCCACTCTGTTGGCAGTTGACAAAGAACGGGGTGACTCTCTCATCGTTGCCACTTTCTTTCTTTCTTTTTTTTTTTTTTGAGTTGGAGTCTCACTCTGTCACCCAGACTGGAGTGCAGTGGCCGCTCCCGGCCACCGCAACCTCGACCTGCTGGGCTCCGGTGATCCTTCCGCCTCAGCCTTCCGAGTAGTTGGAACTATAGGCACGCGCTACCACGTCCAGCTAATTTTTGATTTGTTGTAGAGATGAGGTCTCGTCAAGTTGCCCAGGTGGGTCTTGAACCCGCGGGCTCAGGCAATCCACTCACCTTGGCCTCCCAAAGGGCTGGGATTACAGGCTGAGCCACCGAGCCCGGCCATCGTTGCCACTTTCATCCTGATTAGCCACCTTAGTAAAAGAGGAACTCTGGTTGGACTTTTATTTCAAGGGCGTTTTCCCAGTCCTTGCTGACATATGCTCACAAGGTTGGTTGTAGTCTTCGCACGGAAACCTGGTCAGATTGTCCCCACTGCATGGGGTGAGCTACGTGTGTGAAGGAATGAACTGAAGTGGGTGTCATTTTACCTTTTCTACCTGACTCTGAAACTGTGTTTGAAAAACAAAGACAAAAGAAACCTTGTTGGCACCCCCTATATCCTCTCATTTGTCTGGGTTTCCTCTAGAGTGACCCAGGATGACTGCAATCTGCTTCTCATCATCTTAAAGGTGTGGCTAATTAGTGCTTGTTCTCTGGAACCTTCCACTCTCCTGTTACACTCTGGACCTTGTTTTTCTAAGGAAAAGAAGTCAGGAGAGAGATGCAGGCATTGACTCAAATACTCCAGGGCTTTGTGGAATGCGCTGCTATTAACCATCCGCCTCAGTGCTCACACTGCGCTGGAGAGAGCCGCGTGGTGGCTTTACCTTGCTTAGTGAATAAATGGATTTTTCTCTTTGTGAATGGTCTGCATGCCTTATCTCATAGATCATAGGGATGGAAAAGTGCAGCTCTGTCAGGGACCTGATTGCTTCTGTCCAGCCACGAGGAGCATTCTCATCCTTATCCCAAAGCCCTCATGAGTACGAAACCCCCAGATGGACTAAGTCTCTCCTCCCCCAAAACATCGCAGGGTGATGGGAGAAAACGTAGAAGGCTGGGTGTGGTGCTTCGACCGGGGGAAGCGTCCGGGCCTGAATTCTGCTTGCAAAATGCGTGGTCCAGTTGAAGGGACGTGGAATCGTTTGGGGAATCAAGCCTGCTCTGACTCTTGGCTCGCCGGACCTTGTCATCATCTGGACGCCAGATAAAATACAGATGTTCTTAGCTAGAAACACAGCACCAGACCATTTTCCTCTTGGCTCGCCCTGCCTCTTAAATGCCTGAATGCCAGACAAACTCGTTTTCAGCATTCTGGTCCGGCTATAATTCACGGAAGATATCCCAATCTGGATTGAATAATCTTCTTCCCAGCTATGTCTCTGAAATAGGGCCCGGGTGCTCTGTGGCCTTTGGCTGCTGGGTGTGTGATGGTGTCCGAGCGGCTCTTCCTTGAAGCCACATGTGCAAAACTGTCATAGTAGCCGGTGGCCATGGACCGGCTTCCCCCCAAACTCCCCCAAGCCCAGCAAGAGCCACAGAGATGTCACTCCCTCAAGCCCTCAGCAGGCTCACCCTGCCTGGCCCTCTTTTTAGCGGCCACTGCCTCTGCACTGAAGTGACCCTTTGAACAAAGTCTTGCCTCGAAATCAAGTGGAAGCGTCTCTTGTTTTTGTGTCTCTGCACAGAATGTGAGTCAGATTTTTCCAGCAGGAGGAGGATTTTGTTTTGTAACTACCTCAGACATGAAGAGGTCACTGGAGGTTCGTAATTACCTTGCAAGGAAGCCAGTAACCGTGGCTGAAACGCGAGAGGCCGACTCTGAAGACTCGGTAAAGAAGGACTACCTGAAGATCTTTACTGTTTGAGTTCAAGCTTCCACTCTTTTCCTCTTTCTGCCCCTGCAGAAGCTCCCCCACGTCCCCCCATCTGCAACTGGTAAAAGGCAAGCTTGAAGGATGGCGAGTTCTAATCGTTCAGCCAGAAAGATCATCTGTTTTAGAATAAGTTTTAACACATTCAAAGAGCTCTTCCTCATCCGAATGCGAAGGCCCACCCTGTGGGTAAAGTTTTCCTTCACTCTAATAAAGAGATACACGCACGTGATAGAAGCTCTTCTGAAATTTTTGAGAAAATGGTATTGGGGTCATTTCCTTACATGACCTGTTTAAATGCTTCCGAGCCTACTTCACCCAGGTAGAAACTCCAGCGGTCAGATCCATCATCAGTTGTCCTTCGAGTTCTCCCTGTTGGCCAAAGGCTGACCACGGCTTCCTCCCCTCACCCACTGCAAGCATCTGAGACCCTGCAATGACCCCAGCTTGATTCTCTCTCCAGGGTCTTCTGTCTCTGCACTGCCTTTCTCTCCTGGATCACTCAAGAAACTAAACAAAACAAACCAGGAGGGAGACAGACGAGGTGGCTAGACTCCTGTGATCCCTGCTTGAGAGGTACGTACCATTCCAGAATTGGCCTTCTACCTGGGCCTGGGCGGGCCGCACGCACATCCCCTGCAGCAGCTGTAGTCCTTCTCTGCAGCTGCTGCACTGGTCGTAGCCAAGGCCGGTACAGGTTTCGCAGGCTCGGTGGCAGGGCTCACATTCTCCCACTTCTGGGTCACCATGGAAGCCAGGGCCACACGTCCTCACACAGCTGCCACCTATGTGAGAACACAGAGGGGAAGCATGAAGGTGGAGCTCTGGCTGTCAGAGCTCGGTGCTACGCACAAGGCCAAGTTCTGGAGAGGCTGAAGGAAGTCTTAGGGACTTTTTTTTTGAGTTGGAGTCTCACTCTGTCGCCCAGGCTGGAGTGCAGTGGCATGCTCGCAGCCACCGCAGCCTCGACCTGCTGGGCTCAGGCAATCCTTCCCCTTCACCTTCCAAGTTGTTGGAACCATAAGCGTGGACCATCATGCCTGGCTAATTTTTTGATTTATTGTAAAATTCACCCCCTTCCTCGTCTTCAGGTCCCCGCCCTCTTCCCCCTCCCAAAGTGCTAGGATTACAGGCGTGAGCCACCGCTCTCAGCTTAGGAACGTTTTTGTTTGCATTTGTTTTTAAAGGAAGCAGAACAACTTTAGCTTACTTCAGTCAAGGAATGGGTTTTAACAAATCCAACACTTCGTCTAAGTACTCTTTCTTTCTTTCTTTTTGAGTCAGGGTCTCGCTCTGTTGTCCAAGCTGGAGGGCAGTGGCACACTCATGGCCACCGCAGTCTCAACTTACTGGGCTCAGGCAATCCTTCCGCCTCAGCCTTCCAAGTAGCTGGAACTACAGGCATGCACCACCACACCCGTCTACTTTTTCTAGAGTTATTGTAGAGATGAGGTCTCACCAAGTTGCCCAGGCTGGTCTCGAACCCACGGGCTCAGGTAATCCTCTCACCTCGGCCTCCCAAAGTGCTGGGATTATAGGCATGAGCCACCACGCCCACCCCAAGTACTCTTTCAACTGAGAATTTAAATTGGTCATTAGCTCAAAGGGTTAAGAGCATCACAAAAAGAACTTTACATCCTTGAGGTCTTGAAACACTACAAATAAAATAAATCTCTATCTAGAGAACCACTGAAGATCGTTTGTGGGCTGTTTGTCTTATTCTTTCTCCCACAAATATCAAGAGCACTTCAGTTGAAAGACTCACTATATTATTTTCCTGACCATCCATTTCCATCAAAGTCATGAAACCTGAACAAAGGATCTTGTTTGACTCTTACAGCACACAGGAATACATGATGTGAATTAAGTCTCCAGCCGAGGGTCAGGGTTCTGAATGTCCCGGGCGACTTCCATTCTAAAATACTCATCTTCAGGTCCCCTCCCTTCCCGTCTTTGTCCAAGTCGCTCTCATTTCCGTCAGCTTGGAGATATTTGACATTAATTAGTGAAAAATGAACTAAGCTTCAGTAACAAAAGCAGAAGGAAGTAGTCCCGGCTAATGTTTATTTTCAAACCAAATTAAAATTCTTCCTTGGACCAGAGGTGCCCGCATACAAAGGCTCTGAAACCAATCACATATGCGCTAAAATGGCACTGACTGGGTGGCGCTCGAACGCCTGGTTCTTTTTTTTTGAGTGGGAGTCTCACTCTGTCGCCCAGATACTCTGTCGCCCAGTGGCCCAGGAGCGGCCACTGCAGCCTCGACCTGCTGGGCCCCGGCGATCCTTCCGCCTCAGCCTTCCAAGTAGCTGGAACTACAGGCGCGCGCTAACACGCCCGCCTAGTTTTTGATTTATTGTAGAGATGAGGTCTCGCCAAGTTGCCCAGGCAGGTCTCGAACCCGCGGGCTCAGGCAATCCACTCACCTCAGCCTCCCAAAGGCGCGGGATTACAGGCTGAGCCACCAAACCCGGCCAACGCCTGGTTCTTACTGTTTCTTTTCTTTTCTTTTTTTTTGAGTGGGAGTCTCACTCTGTCGCCCAGACTGGAGTGTAGTGGCTGCTTCCGGCCACTGCATCCTCGACCTGCTGGGCTCCAGCGATCCTTTTGCTTCAGCCTTCCAAGTAGCTGGAACTACAGGCAAACGCTATCTTACTATTTCTTAAAAAAATTATTTTTAAAATTATTTTAAAATTTTCTCTAGAGACAGAGGTCTCGCTATGTTGCCAAGGCTGGTCTGAAACTCCTGGCCTCAAGCGATCCTCCTACCACCACCTCCCAAAGTGCTGGGGATTACAGGTGTGAACCACCACCCCATCCTGGTTCTCACTTTGAATGGTGCCATTTTCTGGCTTACCCAAGAGAAAGAAGCCCTCTTCACACCAGTAACACTCATTCTGGTCACAGTTGCCACAGTTAGTATCGCATGCCTTGCATTCCAATTCTTCATTGTAGGTCTTCTCAGGACAGGTTTTATAACAGTGGTGTTCAAACCTAGAGGAAGAAAACATCATTTCCTCTGTGAGACATGTTGATGGTTCTTAACCATCATAATTTAATCTCCTTATATGAGGGAGGACCTCCCCAAATTATATATATATTTTTTGGAGGGCAGACTCCTTGTAGTATAGGTTTTCCCTGCAAGGTCAGTGTTCTAGGAAGCCATCAGCGTCAGTGTACCAGCTGGTGTTGTGAGAGACTGCTTTCAGCTTCAGTGAATATTTTGGAGAGATTCTTTCAACAAGTTTGCCCATTTCATGATGGGTGATTTACGAACATAATCTGAGTGTTCAGCAGTTGTTGTTTTTTTTTTTTTGTTTTTTTTTTTACCAAGAATGGTATGAACCCTACGCCCCACCTTTCCTAGTCATCTGATCTCACCTTGAGTGACTTTGTTTCCCTGGATGGAAAAAGTCTTCAAAGGGAAACGTTTTGCTGATGTGGAAGAGGTGAACCAAAAAATAGCAGAAGCACTAAAAGGCCTCGTAATCGATGGGTTCAAAAAATGTTTTGAGCAGTGAAAAAAGTGTCTTGATAGGTATATTGCATCAAATGGAGAGTACTTTGAAGGTGCTGAAGTTTACACAATTTTTATAAATGAATTCTGAGGGGTTTTTTTTGGATCCCTCCTTGTATATGTCCATGCAGTGTTTTCAACAAGCATAGATAATTAGATTTCAAGCTTGGTCTATCAAGTCTGTCTTCCCCCCAAAATCATGTCACTAACCACCTGCTTAGGGACCTCTGAGGACTCCTCGTCAGAGCAGCTGGGAGAGGGCCAGGGAGAAGGAGAGAGCTTATCTATGGGGTACTGATTATGTGTCAAGTATTAGTTCATTTAAATCTCTACATGAATCCTATATGGGCGTTATTACCGATCTTTAATTTCTAGATAAGGAAACTGAAGCCCAAGGTTAGGTGCTCAGCATCAAACAGCTAGTTAAAGGTGGGACTGGGGTTTTAACACAAGTTGGTGTGAATAGAGCACTTATGTATCTTGCCACGTGGCAGCTAGCACTGAGGACTGAAGCAGCTGGGTGTTGCTTCCAAGTAGCTTACCAGAGTGTCCATAACCAGATTATCAACAATAGCAAAGCGCTTTAGCTTTTAGTTATGACTACATTGACATACATGATCTGTTATTCTCATTACACAGTAAAACGTGGTGATTCAGACTCCACTGTGTTGCAGGCTCATTGAAGCAGGGGTGGAAGGAAGCTGACACTTGCTCTCTGATGAATTGCTTTTTTTTTTTGAGTTGGAGTCTCACTCTGTCACCCAGACTGGAGTGCAGTGGCCGCTTCCAGCCACTGCAGCCTCGACCTGCTGGGCTCCGGTGATTCTTCCGCCTCAGCCTTCCAAGTAGCTGGAACTACGGGCACGCGCTACCACTCCAGGCTAATTTTTTTATTTATTGTAGAGATGAGGTCTCGCCAAGTTGCCCAAGCGGGTCTTGAACCCGCGGGCTCAGGCAATCCACTCACCTCAGCCTCCCAAGGCACGGGATTACAGACTGAGCCACCGAGCCCAGCTTCTGATGAATTTCAAAGTATCCACAAGCCATCAGGGGGAACCTTAGCACGTCTTAACAACTTCTACTGCATGGCACTTCATTCGCTGTATTCTAAGTTACTACATACTTAGGAAAAAGGTTATACATGTGTGTTTCTTGAAACAAGTGTCTCTCGTTTTACTCTTTGTGATAATGGGGCATGTTCTTTCTATGTATTCATTCCCATTCTCAAGGGTTTTATGAAACGTGTTCATTAGCAGTGGTGAGCTGGAGAGCCTGACGGGTTGGGTCCAGAGTTTAACAGAAGATGCTCTCAGGTGACAAAGGAAGTAGGGGTGGGTGAGGGGGTGTGTCCGGGTACCAACATGAGGAAGGTGGCCATGGTAGAGTCAGGTGGGAGAGATGTGGAATGTTAAGAGGGCTTCTGCATGGTCACTATTTTTTTTTTTTTTTACTTGATTCCAAAGTCTCCTTTCTCGGTTCTCTGAGGCACGTTTTGTGCCTCCCACTGTGTGACCTCACCAAGGAACACTTGCCTCTCTGCCATCATTTCTGCTTGGAGACCGTGTGGCCGGCCAGATGCCGGGTAAATGTCAGCAAGGAACATGCTGACAAATGACTTTCTGCTCCTTAAATGTCATTTAGTCGACCTTGGAATAATCAAACCTGGAGATGCCTTTTTCTACCCTCCTCCCTGTTTCGAGGGAGCAATAATTTAAATCAGTCAGTATAGACACTAACAGGCTGTTCTGGAAAAGTTGGATTAAAACCATAAGGCTCCGTCATGATAAGGCTGCCTGATCATTCTTATGATCTTTCTACCTGTTAGGTTCCCCTCTCTCTCCCACCCTTTTTCTATCTTCCCATCCACTCCCACATTTTGAGCCCCTGGAATCGGAGGGAGGGAAAGGCAATATGTGGTAACAGAAGAGGTGATCCACCACAGCCCAGACGGCCCAGATTTAGACCTGTACTAGCTCGTGGAGCAAAAACGCAGCACTTCCCTGAGCTTCTGTTTTCTCTTCTGGAGATAAATATTGACCTTGTGTACCTGACAATCTTGATGGAAAGTCAAAGAGAAGAAATGGACATGAGAATTTGTCTATCACAAAACTCCTGAGTTTTATTTATTGATCTATTCATTCCTTCATTTGAGATGGGGGTCTTGCTCTGTCTCCCAGACTGGAGCGGAGTGGCATGATCATAGCTCGCCATAGCCTCAAACTCCTGGGCTCAAGTGATCCTGTTGTATCAACCTCCCAAGGTAGCAGGGGCTACAGGCTCATGCCACCACGCCTGGCTAACTTGTTCATTTTTTGTAGAGAAATGGATTCACTCTGTTGCTCAGGCTGGCCTCGAACTCTTGGTCTTAAGTGATCCTCCTGCCTCGGCCTCCCAAGACCCTGGGATTACAGGGTTGAGCCACCACATGCGGCCAATTCCTGAGCTCTTAGGATACTGGAAGGTGGAGGCAGGAGGGGATTATGTAGCCTCTGCATTATCTGAGGCCTTCTGTTCCTTTTCATCTCTCTGCTTTTCTTAGTTTTTCTTCCAGGATAGGCAACCATGTGTTGGGAGCCAACATCTATAGCTACATGGCTGAGGCCTGTAAAGGCCCATCTGGAAGATCGCCTCTGACATAGGATATCAGTTATACCTATAATATTGGCGTGTGATTAGTGACCAGTGTGCATACATGGCAGTAAAACTTATAAGTAAATCTCAATACACCTGATGGAAAGTGCATAGCAGAATTATTTCTCTCTGTCTTTCTAAGTTTTACTTCTTTCTAGATATTTTTTAACTTCTATTTCCTGGTAGACTGGGTAGTCAGCTCTTGTTCCTGAAAGCTGTTTCCCCTAGGGCTAAGATTAGAAACTAAATTACCATGATAGCTTTGTCACCCTGCCCCTAGCCAGGTAGAACGTTTTCTTTTGTTTCGTTAATTACCGAAACTCTGTCTGCTTCAGCCCATGGCCGCCATCTTGGCAACCCTGCATTTCCTTGTTCAAGAGTGTGACAGCTACTATTTGATTTTTAGAGTAGACTTGTTAGGATAAAATATATACATATACACTCATAGTTGCGTAAATCTATGCTTGCTGTTTTGTTTCCTTTTGCTACATTATTCAAGTGTAATAGTTACTATACGATTTATAAAAGAATTAACGATAAGGTACTAGCTTAATAGGATATAGCATAGTATTAGAGGTCAATCATTAGATTATATAAAAATTAAAGTTTAGGCATATGAAACTCATATGAATTATAGTAAAGTTTGGTAGTTTAAGAATAAGTTTTAACTGAGTTATAAGGCATTATGTTAAATCGTAATAGGATAATAGTATAACTAACAGCTAAGTCATTTAAGTAAACTTATAGATTATAGTATAGTGTTAAGTTGGTAATATTAATTGTTAAAAATATTGGGAATCAGTGAACTTGGATTGAACCTAGAGTTAACTCAGGAAAGTTTTTTTGTATTAATCAGGGTTTAGAACAAAGAGTATAATATGAATGATTTATTGAACACTATGGAAGACATTTTGAACAATTGAAATTGTGCACCTGTGACCTTGATGG